CTAGTTTGCCAATAGTACTAGGATGACTAGGGAGTCTAGTTTGCCAATAGTACTAGGATGACTAGGGAGTCTAGTTTGCCAATAGTACTAGGATGACTAGGGAGTCTAGTTTGCCAATAGTAGTAGGATGACCAGGGAGTCTAGTTTGCCAATAGTACTAGGATGACTAGGAAGTCTTGTTCATCAATAGTACTATGGTGACTAGGAAGTCTAGTTTGCCAATAGTACTAAGATGACTAGGGAATCCAGTTTGCCAATAGTACTAGGATGACTAGGGAGTCTAGTTTGCCAATAGTACTAGGATGACTAGGGAGTCTAGTTTGCCAATAGTACTAGGATGACTAGAAAGTCTTGTTCATCAATAGTACTATGATGACTAGGGAGTCTAGTTTTCCAATAGTACTAGGATGACTAGGGAATCCAGTTTGCCAATAGTACTAGGATGACTAGACTGTTCATATTCTTACCTCATTCATTGACTGTTCATATCCTTACCTCATTCATTGACTGTTTATATCCTTACCTCATTCATTAACTGTATATATCCTTACCTCATTCATTGACTGTTCATATCCTTACCTCATTCATTGACTGTTCATATCCTTACCTCATTCATTGACTGTTCATATTCTTACCTCATTCATTGATTTTAATTCTTCATCCATCATTTGTATATTCTGTTTCCTCCTCTCTTCTCTCTCCTGTAAAATAAGTCACAGTAAATGACATAGTCCCTGTCTGTGTCATTAGACATATGCTCAAATAATAACAAATTTGACCCAAATAATTAGTGTCAGTATTCAATAATAAAAGTTGAAATGCTATTGAATTATAGAAAAAAATAACTTCTATTAATATATACACAACTAGCAGCTTTACACAATGTATATTTTTTGGTTTTATGGCAACAAAAGCTGCAAAATGAATAACTAGATAAATAACTGTTGTAGTAATTTATATATGATCCTTGCCAATGCTCAGAACATGCTACATGTATTACACACACTTATAAATCTTATATCACACTGTCACTCATTAGAGATATCAAATTATCAAATTTAAGATATATAGTTTTGTTTAGGGACGACATCAAAAGATCGATGTCGGATAAAAAACTTAATTCTTTTAGTTTTTTCCCAAAACCCCCCACCCCCACTGAAACTTAATTGATAAATATTGGTCATGGCATCAGACTACATTCACCATTAAATACAAATTGATAATCGGACAGCAGTATGGCATAGCAGTTGGTTGTTGGCGGAATATACACATGCGAAAAACGAACTACAAATACTCCAAGGTTTTTTTTACTTCATTAAAAAATAAAATCGTTTTTGTAGGATGGAAACTTTTTGAGGTCAAAACCCCCCACCCCAAAACTAAGGCAAATAAGTTTTTTATCCAACATCGATCTTTTGACGTCGTCCCTTATAGTAATATAGATGAAACATAAACATGTCAGAGCTATAGATTCAGAAGTTAATTATGATTTTTTTAACATTAAAGTGACTGACTTTCAGTCATCTTGTATCTGATTGTCAAACGAGAACATTTACATATTGAGAGATATGGCACTAGAATCACATTCACTAAAACAAAATGGCCACCAGTTGGTACTATTTGAATCTCCATCAGTAAAAATCCAAGATCCTGTTCCGGAGTGCCAGAAATGCTTGATTTTGATGATTTTTCAGCACAAAAATGGCCGTCATTTGGCCATTTTGAATCAGATCGTGAAACAAATTGATGTGCATATGTATTATATTATGTATGTGTGAAGTTTGATTGTAATCAGCGCAGGCATCTCTAAGACAAATGGACGCATGCACAGATGCACACACATAAATAAGTCCTCGTTTTCAGACTGCGTCTAATCGTGGACTACAAAAGATGTGCACCTGTAAAACCAAATATGTATGATCATCATACAACTTTGATCCAAACGGGCTCAGTAAAAAATAAATATATAGACAAGGGGTGTTTTCCATTTACATGTACGGAAAATTCTGATGGAGAAATAACCATGTACTCATTAACCATCAGAAATCATTAAAACACTTGTAGTCTGACGTTTATAAAACATTCAAATTTGGGTTGCACAACCATGAGAAATTTCATGTATGTATGGGGGTCTAAAAACTCTGCAACGCGATTGTGCGACTCGCCGAATGTCGATTATTGCACTCTGCGACAGGATCGCAGTGTCACTCTGCGAAGAGCATGATTCCTATTGGTTGGTTGGTCGAACAGCGCGAATCCCAATGGTCGATGTCCACCGCAGGCCTTATAAAAAATTAAGTTTTAAATTGTAAAAAAAGGTATGGTAAAAAAAGTGTGTAAACACTATGTACCGGCGACATGCCGCACTGTTCGGTGATCGGCAAGCACATGGAAGACAAATTGTGGGACCAAACAAATGACACATGGTTTACGGTTTTTAGACACATCACATCGCTGGCTAGAAAAATTAAATAGTGTAACGTGCACGTTGGTTTTGACTGCCTATTTAATACGGTGTTACGTTATCGCCATCTTGGAGTTGTAAGGCTTCGTCCCGATGACTATGCTCATTAGCATAGGCGGCAGCTTCAAAGCGAGTGGAACACAGAGTACTTTCCACGCGTTCTGCAATGAATGTTGTACGTCTTCTTTGACTTTGTTGAGAGCATCAAGGAAAATAATTTGCATGCAGTGAAAACAAAAATCATTCACGACGTGCAACGTTTGCCATGACAGCAGTTGTTAGCAATCGTCTGCCTTCGTTTAGATCATAAACGGACTCAAGACTTGTGGTCTACGATCGATCAGCTGGTATTTTAACCACCAGAAATGAAATACTTTGTAACAGTTTTTTTAAATCAACGCCAAATTTCGGTGGTTCATATTGATCTTAATTTTCCAATAATTGATAAAACGGTTACTTTGTACCTTGATTCATCATCCCAGCTTTTCGAAATTTCGGAAAGACCAGTGCTCAAACGCTAACACTACTACCGTTTCGTTAATATTTGCACAATGTTTATACCATGTGTATGTATATGTATACTACCGGTAATACTCTGTTGTTGACGATTCTGATAGAACGGGTGACAAGCTTCCTGTCACAAACAATGCATAATTATCTAACGTCCATTGTCAGCATTGTTACAGTCAAGACTTCGTCTGAGAAATCTTTTCATTTTCTAAGTTTATATTCTATTTTAATAACACCAACTTACTAACGCAATGGCGATAAAAAAAGAAAGCAAAGACAGCAATGACAGACGATGCAAAGACAAATCTGCAACTCAGGGTCATATTTACTAATTTAGACTTGCCTGCAGCCTGTTGTGATTACGATGCAAAATTACAGGACTTTTGCGTTCACCCTTCGTTTATACAATTTATATTTATTTTTTAAGAATTTTTCATCGGAATCGCAACAGATAGCAAGCACGTCTAGGTTCGAAAGGGACGATTAGGCTGAAATATTCGCATCAACGCGAGAGTTTCAACTACTTAATCGATGACAACACCGATACGTGAGGCCGGTGATCAGACGAGGAAGTGAGTACAGGAAATCTGTTGCTCTTCGATATCGGCCAAATAAGCAAAGCCATCGTTTCCGTGTATGCAGAGAGCGTGCACTCATCTAATTTTTCGTTGACACTGCCATTTAACTAGTAGTTTTCCATCTTCAGCAGTAGTTTCAATTCATTCACACAGCCTTACGTTTTTTCTCTCTTAATATTCTTAATAAAACGATATTGATTGCCTAGAAACAGTTTGACCCGCTACACACTTTATTTGGGAATTCAAAGTGATGAATATAGTCATAACAAATTATACTTGCTAATGACAAAAAAAGAAAGTAACATCGTGTGCCCCGGACTGTGCGAAACGTACTTCACGCTCTACTCGCTTTGAAGCTGCCGCCTATGCTAATGAGCATAGTTGCGGACGAAGCCTTACAACTTCAAGATGGCGTTAATGTTACCAGCTCCCTGATGTTACACCGTAACAAGGCACCCAACACCAACGTGCATGTGTTTTGTAACCCCTCTCATCCCCTCCGAGGGATGTTATACATGTTAATAAATCAATGTTAAATACTTGCTGATTACCGAACCGTGCGGCATGTCGTCGGTAAATACTGTTTCATATGCTGCTTGCATGAATGAATACTAGTAACTCAAGACCTTACGTGTAACTCACTGGGTTTATTCTGTATAGTAGGTAAACAAATACAGACCATGCTGCGTCCGTCACTGACTCACAAGAGAGTACATGCACAGTACTCTAGCTACTTAATATTCATAAGAGCGGGTCACAGTTCAACATAACATCTTGTTACAAATACTTGTTTACCATAGTTCGCGAGCAGTCGGCGAAATAACCATTTAAAACTGAACATTTCTATAAGGCATGCTGTATACCCTTACATCGATCGACCATTGAGATTAACGCTTTTCGACCAACCAACCAACCAATGGGAATCGTGCTCTTCGCAGAGTGACACTGCGATCCTGTCGCAGAGTGCAATAATCGACCTTCGGCGAGTCGCACATTCGCGCCGCAGAGTTAGTTTTTAGACCCCCATACATACCTTGAAATTCATTGCAATTATCATAATCAGCTCAAAAAACCAAACATGTTTAGACAAACTTATGTTAACAATCATATAGAAGGCAGGATGTTGTTTGAAAGTTTTATATAATGTTGACCATTATGGTGGGTATATATGGTAAAACTTTAGTGTCGGTGTAATCCCATCTCACACAAATCATGAAATGCTGGTTCAAAATATTCACTGCCACGCTAATCATAGAGATAAACCTTCATGTGCTAATCAAAAGTTCAAGTTTTGCTGCATTGTTTACTGACGGATATATGTGTGCAAATAGTTTTATACATCTCATGACAATCATACCATTCTTTCTTTTTCTTCTTTGGTCATTTGAACAGTTCGCCTTGCCGTACCACCTTCACTTTTCGAATCATCAGTATTCAAAGATACTCTCAAATTCTGAAAATGAGATTAATTTTGAAATACAATCATATTTCTCATATTAGTGAGTACTGAATTAATATTCCATACTATCAAGGATTTACAATGGTGAAATAAAGATTTGTATCGCCAATTGTGTCACGGAAATGCGTAAACAGAAAAAGTGAGATTATCATTGCATCAGTTGCATACACTCATCTTTTAAATCCTTGATATTATAAAAACGTATTTGTTACATAGTAAGTGTGTGAGTTCACATCATGTTATGTTTATTACACGTACATATATCCGTTGTCAGGTTGAGATAAGATTTGATTGTTACTGTACATCTAAGGAGCAAACATTCTAATTACAAATCTCATTAGTATACAGAATGCATGTTACAACTATTACATAAAAAAAATTGCTAAAATGACATATTACTAACATCCCCTGGCATTTTATATCGTACCCATGGCACTGAAAATGACCTACACATGCTTGTGTTAATGACATGCATGGTAACATTGCCATGGTTACCTTATGATGCATGCCATCAGACATGATGAGCCTCTTGCGTTTATTACCAACTAAGGAGCTGTTGGTCACAGTTATAGTCAACCCCTATTGGATGAGAACAATTAACAAATAACTAATAGTGACACAAAATGATATAGTCCCCATTTATAATTTTAAAAAACAACAACGAGGGCAGGCATTTTCCCCTCATGTAATGCAGAAATGTGTTTCCACCATATTGGTTTTGCAAAAGATGGGATGGAAATTGAACTATAAAGGGTGTTTGGGGAGGAAACTCATATCTATTCCGTCCAGCCCTGTGCTAACATCAACTGTAAACATCTCCTGTTTTCAATTGTATGGTTATATTGTTTGACTTTCAATTAATTTTATTGGGAAGATTGTTTTAGAGATTTTTACTGTTTTTAGCTCCAAGCTGTCTATCTGTAGAAATCTTAGATTAAGGTAAGTTCATCCAATATCCAGAAAATATAGATACATGTTTTTTTTCCCACTGCGATATGGAAAATAACGTAACTTAGAATGACATCTATAAACATGATAAGTAGCTAAAAATTGCCTACTTTATGCAAATTAGGTAATTAAAATAATAAGGTCAGTGGATAACCCCAAAGCACCCTTGTACTAAGTGTTATTTGAATAATATCTTAGGTACTGAAGATATTTGCATAAAACGCCTATAAATTGGCTTACTTACTCGAACTAAGTAATTAATAAATTATTATTAGTAAAAATATTCCCTAAACTAAATAGAGAATTGAACAAATCTGACATTATTTCTCCATCCAAGGTACCAACACACCAAGTATCAACACATTTGGTCTGGTAGCTTTCAAAAAGAAGTCAAAAATTGAATTATTGATGGACGACAGACAGACAGATGACAGAAAATCACCTCATATATGAAAGCTGTGCTCTGTCATCTTTGATGACAACATAACTAAAAAGATATTATTGCATTCATATTATTGTTATTTCAATCATTTTCCAGTCATCTCTGAGAAATAGAAGGATAAATACATCATAATGATGAAAGAGAAGAGACTGATTAACCTACCACCATTGGATTTTCCTCATCTACGTACGATAATTCAGGTGATGTGGGTGATTCTGGAGGCCTGGAAACCCTTGAAGGACCCCTCCTGCCAACATTATCACGTTTTCCACGATATCCACCTCTTCTATTAGCAGAATGTTCAGTTCTGCCTGATCCAACTCTCCTTGGAGGAGTTTCACCTTTTGATTGGGACATAATGTCATGTACTGATCTTCGTGGGGCTTCATTGCTTCGGTTCTGTCCTGTGATGTCATTAACTGATCTTCGTGAGGCTTCATTGCTTCGGCTCTGTCCTGTGATGTCATTAACTGATCTTCGTGGGGCTTCATTGCTTTGGTTCTGTCCTGTGTTGTCATTACCTGATCTCCGAGGGGTTTCATTGCTTTGGTTCTGACCTGTGATGTCTTTAACAGATCTTCGTGGGACTTCCTCAGCCTGCTTCTGACCTGTTATATCAGAAATGGTACGTCTTGGTGCTTCCTTGTTCTCATTCATCACATCAAATCTGTTATATCGTGTTGTATCTGATTCAGATCTTTGCATAGGAGATGAGTAAAACTGTTTGTAAAAAAATATAAGATCAATGAAAGCTAGAAACTGAGCTTTGAGGTACAAATACAAGGCATGACATGGACAGCTGAAATGAGATACCAAGCTTAACAAACACAAGTTTGAACATAAAGTAAACAGTCATGCCAATCAGAGATAAGGCTCTGAAACTGCATTCATTAAAACAAAATCTTACCAGTCAGCCATTTTGAACTCAATCTGAAAACAAAAAGACATGCATCAGGTCCTAATTTTCATCACAATTTTGGACCAAACAGTTATTATTTTTTGTTTTTGATCAAGAGGTTTGCCATTTTTTATCTACATTACATGTGGATTAATTAAGCTTAAAAATAAAGATTTGACCAAGTACAAGTGAGAAAACAGACAACCAAGGCAAACAACAAAGGGGAAGAAATTATGTTCCATGCAACATCTTGTGTTCTATTACAAAAGTTTTAATTAATTGCCTCTGGACGTAATTTTAATAAAGTAAGGTTATTTTCATTAGGTTAGTGCTTAATTTGTTATACAAGACTGGTAGATGTAGTTGCCTGGATACAGTGATGGGTATAAATGTTTGAAAAAGTCAGCAACAATGCTTATATCTGTCATTATAAATAATATTTGTTTCTCACTGAGGGAGGGGGGGGGGGGTCGCAATACCACTCATCACAGCATTTTGTTTCATCTGTGAACAATACTAATAAATGGTAAAATAGTTTAGTGTGATTTTTCAACTAGTACAGTACTGGTACAGAATGTGCTGTTGAGTTATAATAAAATTGAGAAAAACACAATGTAAAAAACCTAATTTTAAAATCAAATCAAGCATCAGTAAACTATGCTACTAGTAATGTCAATTCCAAGTTTGAATGAAATCTGTCAAGGCATGCATGCAACATGGCACGCAACAATGTTGAATTCAAGTATTTTTTGGAACAAACATAGCAGCAAATTGGTCCAAAGTCAACAAAGTGTAAAACAAATTGACATGCATATGTATACTATAGACCAACGAAATCCAATCAAATTTAAAAATAACAATGACACTCATCAACACTTTTCCATAAGATATCTGAAAAATTAACAAATCGTTGGACGTATCACAAAATGTGGGTAATAAGTTGACATGCCTGTTTAGGTGATCCTCTGCCTCTTCCTCTACCTCTTCCTCTTCTAGTGTTTCTGGATCCTCCTCTATAGCTACTTCTACCTCCTTCACTACTCCTGCCCCCTCGGTTACCAGGTGGTGGTGATCTCACATAATCCTCATCTCCTCGGTTACCAGAAGGGGATGATCTCACATAATCCTCATCTCCTCGGTTACCAGAAGCGGATGATCTCACATATTCTTCATCACCAGGATGGTGAGGTACAGCAGCACCACTCTCTATAGCATATTTTTTATCATCTTCAATTTCCTGAAAAAAATACAGATTCCAACTAAAAGAGAATTCAAATCTCAATGAACACATAAAGGCATAAAAATTTGTTCAACATGCCAGGGAAAAAAAGTTGGATAGACAGATTGATGGATGAATGTAACATTAAATCATAATTTTGGTTTCAGACTATATTCAATAGAAACTAACAACAAAGTATGTCCAAAACTTGAAAACATAAATAACATGGCCGATAGTCTGCCATTTTGAATTAAATCATACAAAAAATAAGCATTTTATAATACACAGTCCCTGTTGGGTATTTAAGACCATGAACACATAAAATTTAAAACATAAAAGTTACTTGCTACAGTAATATATATAAAATAATCCAAACAACTATCAGTTTTTTCAACTTTACACATGCTTTGTCACGAATAAGTCTAATTTTGACATCTACTGTGCATATAGAACATGGCTGATGAGAAAGAATCCCAATTGTATATAATGAAGAAATATCATCTTATATAAAACACAGGGAATGATCAATATTTTTTTCAAAACAACAATATGTCCTAAGTCTGAGACCTGTCAAATTATCTGATTTTTTGAAAATATTTTTGTGCCAGGCGACAGTTCCAGACATTGAATGTACCTGTTGTCTCTCCTGACTTTTTATATGTAAATAGCAAGTGCCAGTGCAGACATATAGTGCATTTTGTCACATAAACCATATTACAGTTTGGGATTTCATGACAGGGCTGTCTGGCCATCTCTCAAAATATGTTTTTTTTTTTATCATGCTATCCTGGCATCAATCAGGGCTATTCAACACAAACACCTGACATCTTGCGTTCCCCTCAAAATTGCA